ATTTAAGAATGTGTACTCCTCTGTGAAAGGGGCAAAAGTTGTCACTGATAGGGCCACTGGACGTTCCAAGGGATATGGGTTTGTGAGGTTTGGTGAGGAGGGTGACCAAATGCGGGCAATGGTTGAGATGAACGGCCAATACTGCTCCAGTAGGCCCATGCGGATTGGCCCTGCTGCTTCAAAAAAACCTGTTGGCCAGCAATTTCAAACTGGTATGTTACATGTTATATGCAAATGGCTTGATTGGTAAATGTGCAAAGTGTTCCTTGTTGATAAGTATCCGTATTTGATTTTGATTGTTTATTTATGTGGCAATATTACGCTCTGCTTTCCTTGTTTTTTAGACTCGGTGTTGCACTGGATGAATGCTCATGGGTTATGCCTTTTAGATTTGCCTTGATATTCTCGAAGTCTTCTCGATTACCAGTCCTTTCAGTTATGCACTTGAGGATAGAAGCAATATGAAAAGTCATTTCCTTCCAGTTGTAAGACTGGGCACATTTAGCTAAAACATGCAAAAACTTATATAAAACTATGTTGTCTTAAAGCAGGACACCGAGAGGCTCTCTTTTTCAGGGGCCTGGAACTGATTTCAGCTGAAATGATACCACTTAAATGCGTGGCCTCATTTTAGGTCAGTGGTTTTGTTCATGTCCGTAAATTAATTAAATTTCCTGTGGCATTTTGCTACATTCCCGAATTACTTTCCAGCACCTAATTTTCCCAGATTTTTTGGTCGAAGTTTAAGTTTACGCCTTTCCAAGCATCAATTTGTTCCTTTTATGCAAGATCCTTTCTTCTTCCCCTTGCTTCAATTATTTTTTAATACTTCCATTTTGTCACTTTTTCTTATAATTTGCCTCATATCGTACCTAGCGGAGTTTGGGTAGTAAATTTCCTGGTCACAAATGTCCGAACCCATGAATTAATTGGAGAGAGTTGATGGTTTAGATGTGGTATCATTGCAGTTCATCTGCTTGCTTGTTACTACATAGTACATTCTGATATATCCTTTTGTGATAGCACCAACAAAGCCTGTGTTCTCTATCTTTAAGATATTATCTACATGTGTTGCATCTTGTGAGATCTGAGTGCCATGAGTATCCCTCAGCAGTATTCCATGTCATGAGTTTTTTTTTCCCCAGCATCTAATCAAATCCTCCCATTGTTTTACTGATGGTATGTATTGTTAGAGAGCTATAAGTAAATAAGTTTTTTTAATCTGTAAATTTTCGTTTAGATTTGCATTGTGATGAATTGGGTCACTGTGTTCAAGTTGTTTTCTTCATTCACCTGCTCTGCGCTATAATTCACAGAATGGTTGTCATCAGTTGGTATTCTGTTTTGCAATGATGAAGGGAGCTACCCATGTTTGAACTGTCTGACACATGGGGGAAGGTAGACATTGGGCTAGGAATATCACCAGACGATCCTTCCTAATCAAGCTATCTCTTTTGATGCCTTTATACATGGAACTAATTTTCGTTTTAGGGCATTATCTTCTTGGGCTAGGAATGCCCCCAGATGATCCTTCCTACTCAAGCCATCTGTTTTGATGCCTTGATACATGTAATTCTCGGTTTTGGGCATTATTTTCTTGGTTACTGATTCCATAATGTTGCTATGTGTAAAGATTTGTTGCAAATTGATGGATGTCAGGCTGTCAGCAAAAGCTACTTGCAAAGCTTATTGTACGCAGTTTGAGTGGTTTGTATTGCCCTGTCGATATTACAGCCATGGTCTTTTTGTGTGGGAGTTTCTGTCACTGGTAGAAGTATTTTAATCGAATTGAGCAAATTCATGATGGTGTGGATGTCGATTCTATCCATAGAACCACTTTTTCAAGTGAGACCCTTGCGGGCTGCGTGTTTCTTGGTATAGTATGTTCATGTGCGAGGTTGTTTCCCATTTTTCTGTTATTGAATGTTGTTGTCCCTGCTTTATGTATGTGGTAGTTGTGCTTTAAAATCAATGTTGCGTGATTGTTATCCTAGCTGCCTGAATGCTAGCTCTGTGAGGTCATCTATTAGTTTACGCATATTTGTCATTTGCAGCTACTTACCAGAATGCTCAAGGGAGTCAGGGCGAGAATGATCCAAATAACACTACTGTGGGTAGCTTTTTTTATTTCCTGTCCGTACCAGTGTTAGTGGACATGGCATTGGCATATGAATCCTTGCGGTTGTCTTGCAGATATTTGTTGGTGCTCTGGATCCCAGTGTATCAGATGATGTTTTGAGATCAGTATTTGGTAAATATGGTGAGTTAGTCCATGTGAAAATTCCTCCTGGGAAGCGTTGTGGATTTGTTCAGTTTGCTAATAGGTAAGTATCATGATTGCTACACCCTTTAACGCCATCTGCTGAATTCCGTGTTCTGATGTTCTGTTATCCTTGTCACTAGATCCTCTGCAGAGCAAGCACTACAGATGTTGAATGGAACTCAGTTAGCCGGACAGAGTATCCGACTATCTTGGGGACGTAGCCCGTCAAACAAGCAGGTTAATAAATGCCTTCATTTCCTGCGTTTTACCTGATTCTGGCATTCCGCTGGTATTAGTTGCAATGATTGCCCTAACATATGAATTAAATATGGCTCAAGTATGTGTCATAAAGAATGTGGGAAGTGAGATGGTTCAATAATAGTATGAGAGCTGAAGTTTTTTATGCATAAATACATATATACGAGCAGTAGACTGGCATTAATTGCATTTTAACTAACCATGGTTACTATCATTGAAATTTCCCAGGCCCAACCAGAGCAGAACCAGTGGAACGGCGGTGGTGGATATTACGGATATGCTCAAGGATATGATGCAGCAGCAGCTTATGGTTATGCAGCCGCTCCACAAGATCCTAGCATGTACTATGGAGGTTATCCTGGCTATGGAAACTACCAGCAGCAGCCAGGAGCTTACCAACAGCCGGGACAGGTTTATCAGCAGCCACAGCAGGTGTAGTAGGCTTTGCTACTTTAGTTTCTTGCTCTGGCTTAGCATTCCTTCGTCTGGAAGGTTATAACTCCTCGTATTCTCTTTCGCAGTGATTTCTAAACCACTGTTTGGTTCCATTGCCAAACTCAAGAGCGGAGAGGACCAGCTGGGAGGCTTTGCCGTGGCTATGGATACGAGGTCCTTAAGTTTCACCAACTGACCGTATCCCTTGTGGGTTGGCGTTGGGCTTTCGTGCTGTTGCGTTTTGTTAGAGGTTAGGTTTTTGACAATGATCAGTGTACTGTGCAGATACTGGGTTGTAATGCCGTGATGTTTGTTGAGGTTATGGCGGTTATGCACTGCCCCTAAAGGATTATTTACTCTGTACTTTGTGGAATTCTGTTCGACTGTATCAATGTCTTCCCTGGGATGTCTTCGTGCACCTTGCAAATTGTTATTCGTGATCCCTCTCATTTTTTGTCAGATTGACAGAGTAGTGAGCGTTTTGATTGCCAAATCTCTCAAACTACACACAAAGCTGCCGAATGATGATCGGTGTAGATAGTCGAGGAACGATCAATAGTCACTACCATGGAACTGGTATTCTTAAAATCAAGGGCTAATACCACTACAACACCCGAACTATCGCGAAAATGTCACTTGTGTTCTATTGTTTCCAATATTCCATCTGTGTCCTGAACTATGATTCCGTTAGTGTTGACTTTTGTTGACCGTTAGTTTTTAACAGAAAATCTAGTCAGCACTGATGTGGCAGCTGACGTGGAATTTTTAATATTAATTTTTTCCATCTAATATTAATAAAATAAGAAAAATGAAATAATTAAAATATAAAATAAAATAAAAATCCTACCTCTTCTTCCCCTAACCTAATTGAAACCCTAATCATCACTCTCTGCCTCCCTCCCTCATCTTACGCCGCCTCCACCCTCCAAACCAAACACCTTCTTCATCGACCCCTTTCCCATTCCGCCTGCCGTCGCCCCTTCGAGACCCTGCGCTTCCGGCGATGACCTCGCCCGCCGCGCCTCGCCGACCCCGCGCCTCCCCAACCCCCGCCTCACCGACTCCCCGCCTCACCGACCTCGCCCGCCGCGCCTCGCCGACCTCGCTCCTTCCTCTTCTTCTCCAATCGCCCGAACAGAGACTGAGGCAAAGACAGAATGGACGGAGGCAGGCCCCCCGCCGCTCGCCCCATCGATTGGAGCCAGTAGCTCGGCGGCACCATCACTCCTTCCACTGGCGACCGACTTCTCTTCTCCAGATCGCGAGAGTAGGAAGATTAACCGCCGCCTACGCAAATCCTCTCTAGATTCATCGCCAAAATCTTCCATCATTGAACATGAATCATGGGCTGAGAATCCCTCTGTCTCCGATGATGGGATTCAAAAGAATCGATTTGGATTCTGGCGATTACCCGATTTGGGATTTTGATTTTCAATTAACCCCATTCTCTGGGTTCCGGCCATTGTAGCGGCACGATGAAAGATTGGCGAGTTGGGTTATCTTTCAGAGAGATTCTCAGAGCCGGATTGGGAGATTTTTGGCGAGTTGGCGAGTTGGCGCATCTGAGCCGGATTGGGAGATTTTTCAGAGAGGGAGAGTGTGAATCGGTAGAGAAGAAGAAGAGTTTTTTATTATTTTGTTTTAAAATTTTGGTTTAATAACATAATTGAATTTACATTTTTTTTAATTTTAAATCATTTTTTTATTTAATTTGAATTAAAAAAATATTAGGTCAATGACGTGGCACCTATGTGGCAGCCTCTTTTTTTGCCACGTCAACAAAAGTCAACTTCGCGTTGACCACCGTTTGGTCAACCGTTATCTTTAACGGTCAACGAAATTGACAGGATACAAATGACACAAAGTATCATAGTTCAGGACACAGATGGAATATTGGAAACAATAGGACACAAGTGGCATTTTCGCGATAGTTCGGGTGTTGTAGTGGTATTAGCCCTAAAATCAATGAGGTTGTGCTTGTTAGTAGTGTACTCTATTCGTCGATTTAGTAAGCGTTTGTGAGGTTGCAGAGCTACATATATCATATCAAATGGAAACTAAGATGAATGCAACGAAGATACAAGCAATAGAATTTTCTAACTTAGCCCCTTCGGTACTTTCCCCTGTGTCGTATCTTGGACTAGAGAAGCATATCATAAGATAAACGGTGCAGGAGCATCTAACATGAAATGCGCAACACTAGCAACATCAATACTACACTTGGTAAGCGGAAATGAAAATAATGGGCAAAAGACAGTACAGGCTTTTCCTTTCACAAAATTGCCAGCCACAATCTTAACCAGACTTAACAAAATTGTCTATATGTTATTGGTGCATGGCATCCAACAGCTTCAGTGCCAGAGCTTCTTGCTCCGCTAGGGAAATGGAGTCGTCTATAGCACTTTCTTTCTCTCCTCTAGTTTCGCCATCATCGTCACTATCACTATTGAAGTAGATCTTCGATCTTTTCGGTTTCCTTCCATTTGTTCCTTCATCTGCCCCTGATCCGGAAAGATCCTCATCGCTACCTTCTTCTTCATCCCCAAGTCCTCTCTTCCGCTTCACCTTCTCCTTAATTCGCTTATCTCTCCGACGTTGACGGTCAAGAACCTTGTCTACCTTGTCCACTTTCATTAGCTCTTCCCTCATCTTTTTATAATACTCGTCCCTCTTGTCTGCACGAAGAGAGAAATAAAGGAGTGGAGTAATGGAACCACTTTCAGAAAGCACTACAAGCCAGTTGACATTCTGCTACTGGATAAGTTACTATAGACGGATAAGCAGCCATGCGGGCGATTGTCTAGTGAGACGATAAGCCATCACTTAGTTAACGTGGCTTCATTCAAGACTACACACAGTTTGAATAGTTGACGAATAGAATTTACCTTTATCAAGCAAAGACAAATCATCATCATTGTTTGCTCCAGCCACCCTTGCTAGTGGAGGAAGTGTATTCCCTTGCTCATCAAAGACAACCCTCGTTCCAACTGGTCTGTGGATGTTGATCTTCAACTTCTTCTTCTTCTTAGAAATACGGGTTGGAAGCCTACACAACACAACATCCAGAGGCAAGGTAAAGACAAAACGTATCACAATAGGCCGGTTGCCAGCCATAACGACTAAGTCCAGAATTAAAATGGAGCAAATATAGCTGCATGGCACTCTAAATACAGGCATACAGCAGATAAAAGGAGACAGGCAATAAGGAGTAAGAATGAAGTACACTGCATCTCCAAATTCCGCTGATTTCTCAATGCCCTCAGTTTCGGTCTGCTTAGAAAGAAGAAGATCTTTCTCCACGTCCTCATCCTCAGAGTCATTTAGGCTCAGTAACTCCGCTGGTAAGTCCAAGTTTTCCTCTCTTAACTTGTTGGTTTCTGCCTTTTGTCTCTTTATCTCTGCTGGAGGCTCCCCTCCAGAAGCTTTCAGTTCAAGGACAGAAGATTCTCCAACCGACAGCTGTTTGCCTTTCAGTTTTTTCACAAAACGGATATTAGGCGTGAGAGGCAGACCCATTGAAGCGGCAAATTTATCAATGGGTAATTCCTTCACTTCAAACACATCTTTATCCTTCTGAATGTGTATACACCGCATGTATCTTATGAATGCCTTTGCAGCCAGCTCCTGCAGTTCAGAATGCTTCACCAACAAAGATGAAAGCAGTCCAGACACTGGTTGTAGCCTTTTCATGTTCGGCTGAAATTTGATAAACCATGAAAGCATGTTCAGTAACATAAAAAAGATCTCTCTATGTTTTTGCGGTTGATCATATTGCAAACAGAATGAGCAAAACTGCCTCGGTCATAAGAAAGAGTCAGTTGACCTTTATAACTTGTATGGGAACTTTGGCTGCTTTCAACTTGTCAATCATTTTCATTTCTGATGGCGTCAAAAACAGAACAGATCTCCCTCCTGACAGGTATCTCGCAGTACGACCAACTCTGTGTATGTAGGATGCAACATCATCTGGACAATCCGCCTGGAAAACAATGTAAAATCTTCTGAGATAGAAAACAAGTGACTAGCAAAAGCACTGTTATTGTCAGGGATTCAAAATCTCGCCCACCTGTACAACCCAGTCAACTGCTTTGTTGAAGTCAAGACCTCTAGCAGCCACATCCGTGCAAAAGAGAACTGACCGCTGTTCACAGAATTGGGAATAAATATTTATCCTTCTCTCCTGCTTCATCCTCCCGTGCAGGCATTTTAGCGGAATTCCAGGCCGCAACTTCTTAAATGCTTCATAAACAAATTTCACCTAAAATCAAGAAAATTATCAACGGCAGGACAAACTTTCAGGTAATGAAAGAAAAAAAAAAATACTCCAATTATATGATGCTTGTCTATAGGTAAAAAAAACACAGCAGAATGCACAAAATGTACCTGTTTGCAGGTAGAAAGAAAAACGAGAATTTTGGAGTTGAGATGTGCCTTAACAAAACTCCATAACATATCCAGCTTTTGGTCCAAAGGAACAGTCATAACTGTCTGCTGCAGACGACTAGGAGTAGCACTCTCGGCCTTTTCATGAACACTAATGTACTCTGGGTCCTTCAAACTGAGCCTTGCAAGATCCTGAACAGACTTCGTCTGTGTTGCGGAGAAAAGCATTGTTTGTCTATGCTTAGGAAGCTGTGAAACAATTGCATTCAAAGATTTCTTGAAACCAACATCGAGAATACGGTCTGCCTCGTCCAGGACCAAAATCTGTTTTCCAAACCAAGAGAATTACACTCAAATTAACTATAGATGACATGATCTGTCAACAGGAACAGTTATAAAAAAAAAACTAAGCACACAGGAAACCCAAATTCTATACAAAGAGCTGAGGTTGGCAGACAAAAATTGTAACTAAGCAAATGTGATAACCAAAATAGAGAGAATTCACCCGCACTCTTCATCCAACTTCACATAGTAAAACCTAGTGTGAATACTTTATGAGCACACATTGATCATTTGAAAACTCAAGCTACTGCCTAAGGAGCAGAAGAGGGATTTGGAAGCTAACTGCGCATTAAACCTGAAACGAAGCACATCAAAATTTCGTAGAAAATCCACCCATTAACTAAGTGCAATGTACTGACCTGAAGTTGAGAACACTCGAAGTTGGGCGTCTCATCCATGTGCTGAAGAAGCCGGCCAGGGGTACAAACAAGTATGTTCAGCTCATTAACACGCTCCTTCTCCATCTCAACATCCTTCCGGCCACCAATCAACAGTCCAGCACTGAAGTTGTGAAATTTACCAACAGTTTTCAGAACATCAAACAGCTGACCAGCCAATTCCCTAGTTGGGGAGATTATAATGCTCCCCACTCCATCCTCAGGGCCCCACCTCTCCTTGTGTAACTTCTCCACTACCTGCGATTAAATTGCCGACAGTAAGCATAAACACAAACCTCCACCACCATTAGCAAAACCCCGAAAAGGGTCCGGTAAAAACCCATCAAACACGCCGGAATTACTCACAGGGATAACAAAAGCCAAAGTTTTGCCAGACCCAGTTTTGGCAGCACCAAGGACATCCCTCCCACAGAGCGCATGGGGCAGGGAGGCTCTCTGAATCTCGGTCATATTCACGTATCCAGCCTTCTTCAGCGCGTCCATCGTCTTCTTCGATAGCGGCAATTCGCTGAACTTCGTCGCCGCGGAATATGCAGAGAAACTGCCGTCGTGGAGGCGTCCAACCGGTGCATTGTCCGGCAGCGGCTTGAGAGCAAGAGGGTTGGAACCGGAGTCTGGTTTCTGGGACTCAATCCACTCGTTCAATAGGGAGATTTCATCCAGCTCCGCTGACCGCCGCTCCTTTCGATCTGCCTTGGACTTGGACTTGGACTTGGGCTTGTTTCCCATGGCCTTTGCTTGTAAGCAAGAAAGGATCTAGCGAGTGGTGAATCTAGGGTGAAACCCAGGAATAGTAGAAAAGGGCAAATTTTAGAGCTTTTTGGCACGCAATTTGTGCAGAGCAGCGGACAGGGGAGGTCGGGGGTTTAGGGTTTATGGAAATGGGTTCGCGGCTTGTTATTCTTCGTTGGCTAAAGAACGGGTGTCAAAGTGCAAACGCAGCGATTTGGCTTTTATTTTTGACAGTCAATTTTCTTTTTTTCCTGTCTATATTCCCTCCTAATTTTTACAAAACCAATATTAACATATTTTAGAAGACTTTGCTAGGAAAAAAGTTGAAGTCAATAATATTTACAAAACATCATTATAATATTTAGGTGATATAGTATGGACTCGATGTCATAGTCTTGTGTAGGGATGACAATTTCGACCTGACCCGTTTTACCCGACCTGTTTGACCTGTTTTGGGGCGGGGCGGGCATTGCTAGTCTCATCGACCCGTCCTGCCATGATCCGCCCCATTCTCGACCCGTTTTTGTCTAAATTACATGAAATCTTAGTCAAATTACTTTGAATTTTACTTTTATCGCATCATATTTTAGCTATAATAAAGTTGTAAATTAGTGAAAACCTCAATTTCTCCAATAATTTAAGGCAAAATACACTTGTATAGCCAAAACTTTCGAGGTTTTGCCAATAATAGCCAATTTTGGAGAAATACCACTTATAGCCACATTTTTAAAACTTGCTTGACAAATTTAGCCATTTCCGTCAAATACTTTAACACCGTTAACAATTCCATCAGTTAAATAAACGTTAAGCTTATGTGGCTGCCACCTAGACGACACATAGCCGCCACGTCACATTTTAAAATAAAAAATATATATTTTTTGTATGTTGAATCTCATTTAACCTCCCTTCTTCTTGCGACAAGAATCCGGCGTCCTCTGCTTCGTCATCACCGTCGATTCTTCACCCCTGCCAAAAACAAAATCAAAGGTCGAAGACGCCTCGTCATCACCGTAGATTCTTCACCCCTGCCAAAAACAATCCTCGCCCCTGAATCGGGCTGCTCGTAGATTCATCACTCCAAATCCATCTTCTTCTTCTCCAAAAATTAATCAGACCAACACCCACCATATCCCTGACTTGTAAAAACCCACTGCGAGGACAAAAAATAAATTTCAGCATCATCATCGTTCATCAACCATCTCGCTCCTCTACTGGTATAGATGATAGATCTGAAAAAAAATCTTAAAGGAAAAGACTAAAATCTCCGCCTTCTTTCTTTCCTGCACAAATGCCGCCTTCTTCTTCGCGATTGATTTGAGGAAATCGTCGTCGACTTTTCATTTTTCACCACTTAAGTCTCCCATCGACCGGCGGCGGGTAAAACCTTACTTTGCGCACCTGAATCGAGCAAATCGTCGTCGCCAGCGCCGGAAGTGTCAGGATCGAATTCCTCAATGTTGTTGTCAAAATAATGGAGCGATTGCTGGAACAGAGTACCGATTCGCTTGTCCAAGTAAGAGTCTAGACCAGATCTGGGTTGTTGATTCTCCGCGCTCGAAATCTCTGGCGGCGGAACTGAGAATTGGGGATGGTGGCGGGTTGAATATTGCTGCTGTGGTTGAATCTCCGATGGTGGGGAAGATTGATTCGCCTCTCCCTCTTCTTCCCTACTTCCAGCTTCTACGATTGGATCGACGCGTCCTTGAGGAGCTCGCCGCCATCTTTATTGAATAGCTTGTCTAGCGACCGTGACGATGAAGTTCTCGTCGGAGAGGAGGGCATTGTGGCTGGGCAAGCCCGAGAGCGAAGAGGGAAGCGGCGTCGTGGCCACGGTGGGGGAATCGGGGCGGTGGTGGTTTGGATCGGAATATTAGGATGCGTCTCTGAAAAGAGAGAAGCGAAGAGAGAGATGGGGAAAGTGAAAATGCACGGTGGGTGGAGAGTGGAGACTTTTGGGTGCACTTTAATTTTAATTTTAATCTTATAAAGTTAATCCACCGTGGAATTCAAAATAGAGAAATTCGCCAACTCAGCTTTTCCGTTTGTCCAGCCAGCCTATTAGTTGACATCGTTAAAGAATTGGACGAAAGTGGCTATAAGTGGTATTTCTCCAAAATTGGCTATTATTGGCAAAACCTCAAAAGTTTTGGCTATACAAGTGTATTTTGCCATAATTTAACTACAATTGTCATAATATTGTTTATTTTCTTAGTTTTATAATAAAATAACGAATATTTCTAATGTTTTACAAATAAATTGCATACCCATTGGGTCGACCTGCTACCCGCGACCCGTGATCAATTATCCGACGTGGACTCGCCCTGCCACAGGGCGAGTCTGGGTACCCAGAAACCCGCCCCGGACCTGCCCATTGCCATTCCTAGTCGTGTGAGCCCAGACCGATCGAAGATAGCAGACAATCAGACACGAACATCAAAGACATGGTCGTGGGATGATGTCTTGTGGTGTAGTAAAAATATTTTTACGTCTGATTCCAGAAAAATGAGACACGTAGACAATTTTTTATATTTTATCTGAATATTTTTAGTATATCTCAAGGCATACATATCTCAAAATATAATTTTTTATAAACTAGTATAGTTACAATCGCATATATAGATTTATACTTTTTTCTCGTTGTTTCTTATCTCCAACAATGTAATTAATGTTCTCATTCCTACGAGAATAACTCGATTTACACTTTTCCATACGAATAACTAGAAATTATAAGACAACTGAAAAATGACCAAGAAGAAAAAAAAAAGTTGAAATATACGTACACTTACGATTTAACCTAGATACTGGTAGGGGTGTTCAAATGGTGACCATGAAAATTTTCCGGATAATGCAATAATTCGCAATTTATATAATGAATAAAATATAACAACCAACACGTAGTTATAGTTGACCCTTAACAAAAATACATGCAACTAAGACAATTATCTTACGATTAGTATAGAAGTATTCACCTAACAAAAATTTATGACAATGGTATGGGTTAATGAATTGTTGTGTTTGTGTAAATTGACTTAGTCTCTTAGCAATTATCATAGGCTGGAAATGACCTTCCTTTCAATTTTTCATCCATCATAATGTATGAAATTTATCTAAATTAGGCGTCCATATGTTGTTGGTCTACAATTTACATATACAAATATACACTATATGAGCAATATTGAGCTTTATATTTTATGAGTCTAAAAGGGATGAACGTTAACTCTTGAGTGATTATGCAAAGTATTAAGTATGTGTATATAATATATGTTAGATATATGACTAATTACTTAACTAGTTAATTTGGTTTGATTGGTTAGGAGTGTCTGAAACCAAACCAAACCACCTAAACCAAACAAGTTAAAAACTTTAATCAAACCAAACCAATTATCCAAATTAACCAAACCAAATTATCCAAACCAAATTATCCAAATAGTACCGGTTAAAACGATTACCATGGTAACCAAACCGTTTGAACACCACTAGATACTGGACCACTAATTAAAAAAGAACCAGACCCCAAAAAAGGGAAAACGCAAGTCGTTCCCATAATTGCCATTTTGCACAAACCTTTGATTGAGGCTCTCCACTCGCGCTTCTCTCGTCTCTGTTCGTTTGTTTCCCCAGTTTCAGTTCTTTCAGAAAAAAACAAAGCCCAAATTGTCGATTTCATAGATCCGCTCTAACCAAAAGTTTTCCTCCCTTCCTTTTGCATCCCACAATTTTGGTTACGCGCTTGTTTGTTGATTGTGGGAAAGAAACCCCAACCTCCCCCTGTTCTGTCCCCGTCTCTTGCTCTCGAAAGGCTTTTGATTTGGCAACTTCGGCGGGTAGAGCGAAACATGGGTTGCCCCAATAGACGAGAATCTGATCAAGCTGATCCGTGCGTGAGCGACGCCTTGTTGATTGCTACTATGTGTATCATTGGGCTCCCTGTCGATGTGCATGTTAGGGATGGCTCCGTCTACTCCGGAATTTTCCACACTGCCTATGGTGATAAGGAATATGGTGCGCGCTTCTGCCTTTTCTTTTGCTTTCTTGCCGTATCTTTGGTGGTGCGGGGTGTAATTTCTCATCAGAATTGAAGCATTGCTGGGTTGTTTTATTTCGGGGGTGATTTCATATGGGTTTACTGTATTATTATTGTTGGGGACTTGGGGATGTGCATTCATCTTGTAAGATTGGAATTCTTTTATTTTTGTTTTGGGTTGATCGGTTGATGTGTTTGTATGAGCAAGTAAAGTTAGGTCATTCTCCTGCTGGCTTGCTTGTTTACTTTCTGCAAATGTGTCTTGAATGGACAAGTTTAGATGGAGCGTGAGAATTCCTATTGCTGACTGCCAGAATGTGTTTTCTATATCGTAGGGGTTGTGCTGAAACAGGCGAAGTTGACTAAGAAGGGAAACTGCAACGTAAATGTGAGCGTTGGGAGTATGGTAGAGACTCTGATAATCTTTTCCAGCGACCTTGTTCAAGTTGTTGCCAAGGTATGTCACCATGCTGGTTCAGAAATCTGCTGTACTTATTGCTTATGTATAGTGATTTGCTGATTAGTCTGATGAACTTATGGTGTCATATCGGCAGGGGGTTTTACACCCAGCAGAGGGCATAAACTGTAAGCTTACAGATTGCAACGTTGAAGCTGCTGTAACCAATGACTCTTCAGAGGTTTCAGTTAAGGAGGCAAAGCAATCTGAAATTTTCTCTGGGGATAGGCAAATAACCGAGCAAAGCAGGTACTTCTCATTTGCCTGTAGCTTGGTTTATGAGGACCTGACATGTTGAAAAGGATGTTATTGCATATTGATATATGCTGCTACTGTGGATTTCAACTAGCAAAGTACTTTTATGAGGTCCCATACTGAAGGCCCCTGGTTTATTTCATGGAAATACTATGCTAGTGAAACCTTCTTCATATTGAAAGGTTGTCTTTGACTCTTAAAAGTATGGAGAAGCTATATACAAAAGGCAAAATCAAACACTCATTCCATACATGCTTTCTATGGATACTACGCAATGGTGACAGCCAACAACTGAAACATGCATTTAATTTCTTGCATTTGATGGCCTTGCTTGGTCCGGAAATTGTCATCATCCTGGGCCATCCTGTCCATGACATGACTGTTGTTTACTCTATCATGTTTAAGAGAAGTGCTTCATTTGTATTGCATAGTAGTGGATAAGTTGTTGTTCCTAGCGCCCCTCTATGACATTTCTGTGAATCTTTGAGACTCTTGTCAAATTTTGCTGCAGACAGATTGGAGATGTATTGGCTCTGGTGCCAGAGGGACAGTGCAAACAAAAGCTTGGGTTTCAAGGCAAAAAGAGTGTATGAAAATTCCAACCAATTTATTTTCTTAGATAGGATCTGAAATCTTGTGAAACTGGAGATAATTTCTGAACTAATTATCTATCATGGTAACTCTGGGCCTGCATGTGCAGGGTGATGAAATTCAATGCTCAGCCACAGCATGTAAGTTCACTGAAAAAAACAGCGCCTGAATTTCCTTAAAGTGAATGTTTCATAATTAATGGTTTCCCATGACATTGCTGAGCATCTGTCTCAACTCAACTGCCAATACAGTGGTTATTCCGTAATTGTGGGTTACTTGAGCCATTATTATTCTTACCCCTGACGTTTAGTCTATGTTATTCTTTATGCTGTCTATGCAGTGGGTTCCTTCCATACAGAAGTCAGACCTCTTGAGGGTGGATACCTATCAACGAAAATCTTGCCTAATGGAGGGTGTCTAGAACCTACTCCTGCACTTGGTAAGCTAGCCAATGGATTCTGTGATAGGCCTGCATCTGCAGATTCCACCTCTGCTAGTGGCGCTTCTTCAGGGGTTTCTGTTGCTTCAGATCCTGTGTCACGGCATAATTCCTTAACGACATCTTCTGATGTACCATCTCCACAAAGTTCAGAATCCAGTAAAAGCTCTAAGGTAAATATTGATAGCTTATAGCACATTGAATAAAGCATTAAATTTGTTTTTGTTTCTTTTAATATTGAAAGCGAGTAATATTTTGGGGCATGGTATAATCTTGTACTTCAGTTTCAGTTTGCATTCTTCTAATAGAGCTGATAATTGTGGCGATTGCTGATCGAGTATGTTATCTGTTATTGTGTTTTAGGAGTTTAAGCTCAATCCTGGGGCCAAGATTTTTTGTCCCTCTTTTGCAAGTTCTGCATCAGCACCTTCTCCTGCAGTACCAGCACTTGGTGGAATGGCTTACATGCCAAGCAGCTCCCCCATATTACCTATTCCTGCTCCTCAACCTGAAGTCAGCATTGGCCCTTTTGCACCTCGGCCTTCTGTCCCTGCTAAGATTTCTCCATTTAGTAACTTGATAGCTGGAAATGGGGGCAACAACTCACAATTTTCACATCCTGTATGTTCCAAATATACTTGCATCTCTTTCATTCTCTTGTTGTTCTTTTTCTCAGACATGTTACATCTCAAGTTCTCAAAACCTTCACAAATAAAAAAGCCTTCTTGCTCTTGGATGTACCTCTTAACTTGAACTAGCCTAGTGTAAAGTCCCGACTGTTTTGTATGAGAAATGCATAGATTGGATATGTGTTGGTCAAAACTGAATCAGAAAAAGAGAGGGGGGGGGGGGGGGGGGGGGGGGTGTTACACAGTAGGCTTCATCATAGAATGTATATGCAAATGTTTGGGCGGTTTTGTGCTAATTGCAGAACTTCTATCTTGTCAGATTGTTGGCCACATGGGAAGCCGGACACCACCACTTAGATATGCTGGTCAGTATCACACTATACCTACTGGACCTGCATATGTGCCCCCAAATTCTCCTCCTGTAAGCAAAATGCAAATCTCCTCTAGCGTGACATTCATTTCATTAATAACTCTCCCAAAATTGATTATTGAAGATTTATTCACTAGATGCTTTTGTACAGTTGATTATTTTTTCTAATTCATTCAATTTACCTGTCTTTTGTTTCTACAGCTAATGGTTGGACGGTTGGGGCAGCAGCTTGTCTATGTGCAGCCAGTTGCCCATGTAAGACACACTCTCTGCCCTTGGGATTGTCAATTATTGTTTTATTGTCATTTATTTCTACAAGCTTGTAGGAGCATGCTTTGTAGTTGGACTAGCTAGCCAGTCATATGACTCATATTATAATACATCATGAAGTAAATTGGTGCATCTGCCTACTAGATTCTAGCTGTTGGTGCTGTCAAATTGAACATAGTCAGTTCAGTGATCTGCTTCGGCTCCCTTCTTTGCTATCATGCTGAATTTAGATGTTCTGGAAGTATGAACCAAGACTCCAGGCAAAGACATGGAAGTACTGATGGCACCCTTCTTTTAGCTATTGACAAACCAATTGCATCTGTCACTTTACAATGTAATACTCAAACTTCCAAAACCTTACCCAACATCCCTTAGACCTGAACGACGACCTAAACACACCTCTAAACTACATCAAATTTAAAGAGAATGCCAGCAACACACCAACCCACGAACCCATTGAAGCTCGACTCATATGCCCACATTTCTATTTATCAACATGTTTCCTGTGTTTGTTGTGTGCATACTCCTCGATATGAAATATGCGGTCTAAACGTGCAACCCATGAGGTTACCCCTTCATAACCTGCATATCAACTTATTTTACTGGTTTTCTAACTTAAATTCAACTAATTACATTAGTCGAGGATTGCTTTTACAGCTTCTTGAAGTCTTTCCACCCTATCAATATCCCAGAACATCTGCATTCAGTTCTCTGACTTTGTTTTCATATTAAAAATAGGATTTACTTCAGAGTACAGGAGGTATGTCGCAGATGCCAGTACGTCCCTTGATTGGTCCTCACCAGGTTCAATATCCCAAACACCAAGGTATGTGCGCCCAGGGAATATGTATATGTTAGTATTCTGACCACTAGTATTGATCAATGATCAACTGCAGTTTCAGTAATTCTTCCCCTTCTAGGACAAATTCTACTATTTGTGCCGCATTTCCCCCACTTTTCGGCCCTGTTGGTTTGGAGGCTGTATGGCTCGGGGTTCTTATGCTTGTTGGATATCCCATTTGTGAAATGCAGGGAATGCAGTAGTCAGTGGTCAGGGAATGCCAATCTGTATGCCGCCTCCATTTGTGGGTGGTGGAGTGCAGCAACCATTTACAATGCCAGGCCACATCCCACTCTTGCCACCTCCAATCCCTGCAAATCGTCACATTCCTGTTCCATCATCCAACGCTCTCTTTGCCACCAAGTTCCCATGAACATTCAGCCACTGGCTTCCCAATTCTTTGTATCAGACAATAAGAAATTTTGATCATAGAGTCTACAGTTCATAGGTAGCACAAAATGTTTTTTTTTTCTTCTTCATTTTCATCAACTGTGAAAGGGGAAATGGTAAAGAGGGTAAAAAGAAATGCAACTTTCTCTGCATTTGGAGATGTCGGGCTTTTTTTATTGTGGGATCAATTTTGTTAGACTTGTTGTCAAGTTTACCGTAAGACGAGAAATATAGGTTCGTTGGATTTTGGTGATAGTTAAATTGATGTGTTGTCATCAATGCATACAATTGCATTTTTTTTTTAAAAAAAGTCAAAAACTATCAATGCATGCATAATAATATACTTGTACATAAGAAAATTGAGAGTTGTAGGCACACCGTCGTCAAGACTTTTCATTGTCACCTCTCAGTAAATGCATAACCTCGCTAGTTGTGGTGTCTATAATGGATTCCTCGGTAGATTCTTGTTCCACGACTGTATTGGATGATGGATTGGATTAAAAAAAAGTAATTGTATGCATGCATAATAATATACTTGTACATAAAAAAAATTGAGAGTTGTAGGCACACTGTCGTCAAGACTTTCCATTGTCACCTCTCAGTAAATGCATAACCTCGCTAGTTGTGGTGTCTATAATGGATTCCTCGGTAGATTCTTGTTCCACGACTGTATTGGATGAGTGCGCAGTCTTATCTCTTTTCATGGAGTGTTGAGGCGTAATAAAAACAACGAAGATTCACACAAATAATCAAATATGAAGTGCAGAAGTGGTAAAATTAGGCTGATTAAAACTCCACATATAAAATTTAAGTAAAGTGATCAGTGTTCGATCATCATAATGCAAACTCTCTTTGCTACTTTGTTAAGTTTAAATTTTCAATCCGATTTCCTTTCAAAAAAACTTATTTTGAATTCGAAAGGATTCGATCTCAAGCATTACTAACTATAGAATTCGAGAAGAGGGAAAATAGTGGTAATTTTGTTATATTTTGGGTATTCAAATTATCGTTTGCTCCTCATTGATATCTTCAATTTCTTAATAAAAGAAACCGAAAGTAGATTTATTTTCAAAATAAATTTAGATGGACTTTATTTGAAAATTAGAAGTTTTTGGTTGATAAGTTCAATGAATATATCAAACCAATTATTTATATAAATATATATATATATATCAAACCAATTATGAGTGATCTTATGACAATTGTTTATACTCATATGTACAGTCAACTGTCACAACAAAATCATTAATTAATTATGTCTCATCAACCTATATAGATCGTTACATATAACAAAATAGGCCGAAATTGAATTTTTTTCATCGCTTGTTTGCTCCCTCTTATCATTTCTGAATGGTTAAAGGTCGTCCTAAAAATTACTATCCATCGTCCTTACTTAATACATAAATTATCGAATTGCCCATTTTGAATTTCAAAATCAAACACAAAACAAACAACCCCTCCCCCATCCATAAATTTTTTAAAAATATAAACCAAAATCCAACAAATTATCTTATGGACCCAACCATAAATCGTAGTAAAAGAATAGAAAATGATTGATATAACCAAAAAAATCCCAAAACTCCTCAACTGAAGCCAATTTTCGGTTGTACCATGGACCAACCGTAAATTGGCTTCGGTTGGAGGTTTTTGGGTTTTTTTGAAAAAAAAAAAATCGGATTTTTACCTTGTTTGAGTCACTACTCATGATTCGGACGTATTCTCGACGATCGACTCGAGAATGTCAACGATGAATTCGAGATCGTGGGAAATTGAGTGTTTTTCATTTTTTTAGTCAAAGTGATGTTTGTTCGCGCGAACATGTCAAAAAGTTAAAAGTGTAACTTTGTTATTTTTTAGTACGATCAATAATAATTTTAAAGAAGACCTTTATCAATTCCCTTATCGTTTCTAATTTCCCTCCAAGTGGGTATATAACATTTCAATTTTATAAACGTTATCATTTGTCTAGCATTTTACATTTTTTACGTACTCATGAATATTCTCGAGTAGAAGATTAGTGCTTGTAGAATTGAAAAAATACTATGAAATTGAACGCAAAGAAAGGTGGGAAATTTCAAATTTGTGTGTAATTCCGACGAGATTGAAAGTTTAAAATTAGAAATCGGATGACACATGTCGTCCCTGCGAAAAGAAGGTATATGTGGGTTGGGCCTTCGGTCAGATTTATTGTGCAAAGCCCGTGGTCAAGATAAAAACCTTTATTTCATTTTCCTAACCTCAATTGATCAAACGTTTCATATTGCACTTCTACTTTCAATTAAATCCCTAGAATTCTGATCTCACCTGTTCTTGTCAAAGTTCGAAGAAAATTGGTACACAGATCATTTACAGGCAAACAAGAGAAGGGCTAAAGCATCTCTCGGGTAGAATCGTCTCGCGCTCAACGATCCAACAGGCATTCCATCAGGTAGATGTCCCCAGCCAGCAGGCGAATCGCCCGATTCCGTTTCTCTACCTTTCCGTTCAATTCTTCTTCCCAGGGCGCTTCCTTCTTCGCCGGATTCTCATCGTGTCCGTGAAACAGGTAAAGAAATGACGTTGCATTGCATGTTCTGCACATCCGGGGTAGTTCGTCCTTGTATTCCATGTCGTAATTTCTGCTTTTGGGTCCATTTCACTTTTGTAATTTCGTGTGGGTTGTGCTGATGAGACGGTTGAAGAGTTAAAGTTCGGATTTTGAATATTGGGTCTGCTTGGTCTTTGATTAGAAATGATGTTTTGCATTCTATCATTGGAGAGTTTCCATCTTTCTGTGTAAACTGATGTTATGAAATCAAATTAACCTGGATGTTCCTGCTGCTGTTCTGGTATCTTTTGTTATTGAATCGGGCAGCAATGTTCCAAGGCTGTGTCCTCATTGTTTCTTCCTCTTGACTCCCTTGGTTTCCTGTTCAGGTAGTGCATCTGTAGCATCTGCTGACCTGGAGAGAATTCTGTCACCCCTTGGAAGAATTGTGGGGTGTTTATTGGTGTATGCTATCGACCGTGCTAGTCAACGAAAATGAGTGTGATTGGTTTTGATATTGGTAACGAGAACTGTGTTATTGCTGTGGTAAAACAAAGGGGCATTGACGTGTTGTTGAATGATGAATCAAATCGTGAAACACCGTCTGTGGTTTGTTTTGGGGAGAAACAGAGGTTCCTTGGATCAGCAGGTGCCTCTTCTGCTATGATGAACCCAAGGTCTACTGTAACACAAGTAAAGAGATTGATTGGAAGGAGGTTTAAGGATCCTGAAGTTCAAACGGACCTGAAAATATTCCCATTTGACACGTCAGAAGCAAAGGATGGTGGCATTTTGATTAATTTGAAATACTTGGGTGAAACGCATTCATTTGCCCCTGTTCAAATTTTGGCAATGTTATTTTCACATATGAAAGACGTGGCAGAGAAGAACTTGGAAATGCCGGTTGTAGACTGTGTGATAGGAATACCATCATACTTCACTGATTTGCAGAGACGGGCATATTTGGATGCTGCTAAAATTGCAGGTTTGAAGCCTTTGAGACTGATGCATGACTGCGCTGCAACTGCACTTAGTTATGGTATCTATAAAACAGATTTCTCTAGTACGGGGCCAACATATGTGGCGTTTATTGACATTGGTCACTGTGATACTCAGGTGTCTATTGTATCATTTGAGGTTGGGCATATGAGAATAGTATCACATGCTTTTGAAAGCAACTTGGGTGGGAGGGACTTTGATGAGGTTTTGTTTGGTTATTTTGTGGCTCAGTTTAAGGAGCAGTACAAGATAGATGTAAATTCTAATATCAGGGCTTGTATAAGGTTAAGAGCAGCATGTGAAAAGTTGAAGAAGGTTCTAAGTGCAAACTCAGAGGCACCCTTAAATATTGAATGCTTGATGGATGAAAAGGATGTTAAAGGTTTCATCAAGAGGGAAGAATTTGAGAGGCTGTCATCAGCTTTGCTGGATAGAGTTTGTATTCCTTGCAAGAAAGCTTTAGCTGATGCAACCATCACTGTGGGAAAGATTCACTCAGTCGAGCTTGTGGGATCTGGATCTAGAATACCAGCAATTGCTAAGCTAATAACTTCTTTATTTGGAAGAGAACCCAGTCGGACATTGAATGCAAGTGAATGTGTGGCTCGTGGGTGTGCTCTGCAATGTGCAATGCTTAGTCCTGTATTTCGTGTAAGAGAATATGATGTAAGTACTAAGTACTTTTCATATTAGTTTGATCCCTTGTAGTTTTCCTGTTCCAAAAGTTGCATTCACTTGCTTATATTGGCTGTTAGTGTTGACTGTCAAATTCTTGCTTCTTCTCCCCTTTTTTTCTGTGAGTGGATTGTGTTCTTCTTTAATGCTTAGGTTCCAATGCATATCAATTCTGTGTTATTACTGTAGCCTTTGATATATTCATTTCATCATAGACTCAGTCTCCTTGTATTTCCCCTGAACCCACCCCCCAAACTAACACGAGAAATTGCAAAACGGACTATGGACATGTTTTGCTTGTATAGTATGCTCGTTCAACGACAATTAAGGAACTTCTAGCTGTGTGGTATGCAGGTTCAAGATTCAAATCCTTTCTCCATAGGGTTCTCATCAGACGAAGGCCCAATTCGCACACCCTCATCAAATGGCATATTATTTCCTAGAGGCCTATCCATTCCAAGTACCAAAGTCTTGACATTTCAAAGGAGTAGTCAGTTTCACTTGGATGCTTTCTATGCCGATCCGAATGAACTTCCAGCGGGTGTCTCTTCCCGGATATGTACTTTTACGGTAAGCCTTCTTTTCGTCAATGTTGAGGAGATGGGGAAACTCCTTGGTCTGAAATTAGTTTCTTCTGCCTTCTCATAAAGATTTGGTTACTGCTTCGGACTCCCATTGCATATAGTTCTTGCCTTGTATCTTTTGGTTTCATAATGATAACTATGTGCTCGGGGTGTTTACTTTGTCTTTTTCCATCAATGATGCAAGATTTGTGTTTATGTTCCTGTTTTTGCTAAACACACCAGTCTTCGATTCAATGTTCATGCTGATGCTTTTAGGCTTCGAAATGCCAAAGAGAGAATCATGCTGTGTTAAGGATATTGTAACTAGGCGTGTCCATAAGTCTACCTTTTGAAGCCTTTTCGTGATGGCTTCCATATGTTTGGAAAGCCAATTATGGATAGACATTTAGGAAATGAGAGTATTTTCCCATCTTTGATTGAGATGTAAGGATTCTGATAGTTAAGAAGAGTCACTGGGACTGAATTATGTTTCAGTTAGTTAGGAAGAGTCTCCAGACACTCCCTAGGGACATTTCTGTCTGCCTCAAAATCTGATTGGAGAACGAACATTCAGCTTTTTGGACGCTTGCCGAGGGAGGAGATACAAGAAACGCCTCTAGCTGTTAAGTGCATGGATTCAGATCAAACTTCCATTAGACGTATGGTGAGATGGTGGTTAGGCACATATGAGATCTGTTAGTAACAAGAAGCCACTTTCTGATGTCTGTTGAGCGGTTTGTTTGATACACAATGCTTCCCACTTTCTTTTTTGTGCTTCCACTATAAATATTACTTGCCATTGATTTTGCATCTTGGACTTCTCATTCTCACGGATGGTTCCTTTGTCGATTGACTGGTGCTCTGAAATTCTCTATGTAGATTGGTCCTTTACAAGGCTCCAATAGTGATAAGGCAAGGGTTAAGGTTAAAATCCAGCTAAACCTCCATGGTATCATCACTGTTGAGGCAGCTATGGTAAATAACATCCACTTTCATGCAATCTTTCAATGATTAATTTGTATCTTAAGATCTGATAAATAATTGAACTTTAACATGCTTATATTTGAAGGTTGTTAGTGGTGATGGTGATGACGTTAGTATGCAGTCCCCATCTTCCGATGCTTCAGTAAGTTCATTCACATTATATAATTTATTTTTCAATTGATTAATCATCCCCGATGTTTATGAACACATCTAAGGTCCCTTTTTTTTAATTGAGGCCAACAGGAAGTGTTCTTCTATTTGGCCTTTTGCATAGGTCATAGTGTGTTGACTTGATCTACTAGGCGTTGGAGTAAATGATGACAACAACTGTTTCTGCAGGCTGATGGTTCGAGAGATAGAGGCAACCGTAGGATCGAGATACCAGTGAGTGAAACTGTGTATGGTGGAATGACAATGGCTCAGCTTTCAGAAGCCCATGAGAGGGAACTTCAACTCACCCAACAGGACAGAACTGTGGAACAAGCCAAGGAAAAGAAGAATGCACTGGAGTCGTATGTCTATGAGATGCGTAATAAGGTACACATTGATCGGTGTAAGAATATACAGTTCAACAAAAGGGTGGAGGTCATTCTGAATTTATGTGCATGTTTAGGAGAATTATTGGTGCATTTTGGTTTGGAGCTTTTTTCGATTCATGGATTTTGAAGATTGATAATGTGTGACGTGCAGCTTTTTAACACATTGCGGAGCTTTGCTAGCGATGAGGAAAGGGAGGGAATTTCAAGGAGCCTACAAGAGACGGAGGAATGGCTTTATGGAGATGGAGATGATGAAACTGAGAATGCGTACACGACAAAGATGCAGGACTTGAAGCAGGTAATCCTGTTTTTCTTCAAACTTTGCCCTCACAAAGTTCTCTTTTGGCTGACTTTTTGTACCTCGAATTTCCATTAGTTGGTGGATCCAGTTGAGAACCGATACAAAGACGAGGAAGCTAGAGCATATGCCACAAGAGAACTGCTCAATTCCATTGCAGAGTTTCGAGCTTCATCAGAGTCTCTTCCGAATGAGGACAGAGAACTGGTACTATAACATAATAGACGAGACTTGCTCACTTGAACGGAAAACTTGACCAATTCATTACTGGAATCATCTGTGGGTTTCCTGATTTTGCAGATGATGCACGAGTGCAATAAAACAGAACAATGGCTGAGAACAAGAACAGAGGAACAAGAATCCAGGCCCAAAGACATTGACCCCGTGTTATCGTCCAGGGATGTCAAGCACCAAGCAGAGGCCCTTAACTCGTAAATTTCCATTTCATCCAAATTTCTATTCTGGATGGCCAGCGGTTTGTCATTCTAAATAATCTTGATTGATTGATTTTTCAGGACATGGAAGCAGATACTAAGAAAGAGGGCTTCACCAGCTAATTCAGGAGACAGCAAGGGTTCAGATCGGTAAAAGCAACAATGGTCAAAGCAATGGAAGACTCTAGCAGACAGCAGTTTCCCATTAACGGGATCAAAACATTCCACATTGTGATACTGATCCTTGAAATTTTGCATATTTTCAAAGATATAGAGGTTAGAGAAAGAAAAAACAAAAACATGAAAGAATCCAAGGAAAATTAGCCCCTAGAAGATGTCATCTCTTTACCAGTTTCTGCAGCAACTCGCTACTGCAAATCCACAGCAGATCGTAAAAACCAAGTGTCGCTGAATGAAGCCATGGAGTTAACCTGGAGTTTGCACGTTCTATTGGTTTCATTGTGGACAGAATCACTAAGGAACTTGGATTTGTATGATGTAGAATCTACAGACATTGTGCCGATTGATTCTTTGAAAACTTGAGTGATTTTGTGTGCTCTCAATTTATCTGTCTTCTTGCCCATTTGTGCACAACTCTATAAACAAATGACATCACTGAAAAGTTTCCGACTTTCTGGAGACAGGAAATTATGAGTATGGGAATGGAAAGAGAATCGAATTGGATGCTACATAGTTCCCCAAGCTTCAAGCTTTCTTTCTCTTGCTGGTGGCTTTCTTTCTAGTCTTTCTGTATCCTCCACTATCCTGCGGGCATTCAGAAAATGAGAGACAAGCAACGGAGAACACATAAACCAAGCAAAAAGAAAGAAGTCTTCTGAGACTTACCCTTTTGAAATGTCTATATGCAGCTTGCCCAGTAAGCTCCTGACCGTTTCTGGAGACATAAACCTGCAGTGGGAGGGAGAGACTTACAAATCGCGAGCAGCACAAGAAAGCTTGAGAACATGAAGGTAAACTCGTGGAATATACCTTTCTTCCTTCTGGAGATGTAAACCAATGACCAGCAGCAGCTTGACCACTTGCCTGAACTCGTCGTTTACCGGCATCCTTTGGGAGACCTGCACTGGTTCTAGGGTCCACCCAACCTTGAGAAGCAGCTCCTTTAGCATCGGATTTCCTTGCTCTCTTTCTTCCTTTGCTTGTTGATCCCTTGTCCATGTTGCTTCCGCCAGTTCCCTTGTCTTGAGGGGTTCCCCCAAATTGACTCCTGAAATGATCGAGCAACAAAAACAATCAAATTGATCACACAATATGCTCTACAGCAGAAAATATGAATGAGCTGTGTAGAGCAGTGAGTTTACATACATGTAGTCGATAACTGATTCACTTGGCAGCAGATTCCCTCGGGCTTTAACCACGCCAAGGGGGAAGAAATGGGGCAACCGGTCGTGTACTATGCTCCGAATCCTGGCATCATCGTTGAAGAAATAGTGATGGGCTGGAGGAAGAGGGTCATCTACGTTCCAGCATTGCTCAAACTCCCCCATGGCATTTCGATTCGGATCATGACCTGCTCGTTGAGTTTCACGTCTATTCGCGGCAGCATCCTTATCTTTAACAGACTGGAAGTACTCGTTGCAGAAGTCATCTAAAGCAGGTGTTGCAATCCGAACATTCTGCATCGGACTGAAGTCCTTCCACAGGTCCTCGATCCTTCGATTGTTCCCTGATGATTTTCCACTATGCTCAGCGGATTGTGACCCGACACGTTCAGGCTTTCTGTTCACGTTATTGCCAATGAGAGTAGGCTCGTCGTCAGAATCAATCAGCTGAAATCTTCTGAGAGGACTGGTAGTCAACTTCGGGAACACCAACCCACTATGACCCGTCTCTAAGCTTGATGAAGCTGGTGTCTTGAAAGCCAGCCCCTTTCCCTTTGCCACTGACGACTGCCTTGATGATTGACCGGTTAACACTCCGGATCCACGAAGCGTAACTTTTGAACCACTGCTGCATACAGAGCTGTGCTGTCTTGACGGAAGCAAATCTGCAATTCGAAGGAAATGATACAATTTTGAAGAAAACCCTAATCTCTCTCCCCCACCCAATCGAGATGCTAATGGTCTGATTCCCAATTCAACCTAGGGTTCTAATTTCATCAAGTGAATCGTAGTAACAAGGATAAAAGATTGGAAATTTACCTGCGACAAAATCGTCGCCGTCGTCGGAAGAGAAATCTTCAATATCATCGTCGGCATTCACACAGGGAATGGAACTCTTTCCCGTTCTCGGCTCCTTAATTGCAGGTCCTCGCCTCAGGCGCTTGAGGATTGTGTGACGCGAAAACGGAGGCGTCGTCAGCTTGTCCTCCCCATTTTGTTGCTCGTCCTCGGAATCCATGGCGACGGAAGCTTCGAAAGCCCCGTCTTCATCGTGTTCTTCGGGCGGTAGTCGGCAGCTGCTCGTCGGCCGGGGAGGCGACGGTGGAGGGATTTCCGGTTCAGGCTCGGCGTCAAAATCGAGGTCGAAGCCGAGAGAGAAGGACGGAGGTTCGATATCGGCCATTTTTCGATTGCTACGGCGGGAGCCGGGAGGAGAGGAAGCGGGGAAGTGAGCGACGGCGGAGAGAGCTAAAAGAAATGGTTTTCGATTTTTGAAAATGGAGCCAAATTCCATTTTCGATCATTTTCCCTCCTCTGCTACTTTTATCAGGAGTAGTAGCGATGACGGAGGTGGAGAAGGGGATGTCTGAATTTGGGCCGTCCAAAGCAATTGGGTCAGCCCAATTTTGACTGGGCCGAACGATTGAATGATCCAAGACCCACATTGCGCAATTTGTGAGCGGTCCAACCATGATCGGAGTTAAGAATTTTTCATTAGCGATTACGCAGCTCATTATGATTCCACAAAACCTTTCTAAAAATGTCATTTTTTTATATTTAGTGGACAAATGCATGTTAAAGTAGTACAAATTATATTTCTTTTCCTACACAATTAAATTTCTATATAATATTAATTAATTTATATTATGGATCATGGACTTAGGTATAGAAAACTAGCAACGTCTCTCTCTGGCAGACCACATGCCCGAGCTCACGTGCACCAGGCGGAAAGCGCGCGCTTTTCCCCCATCATTCCCTCCGAAACGACGTCGCATCGCCTTCCTTCCGACACCGCAGCGAATCCAATGATTTTTGCTATAGAACAAAAAAGAAAAACACGAAACTAAATAGAAATACGACGAAAAAATTAAAAAACAAAAAGAAGAAAAAAATGGGAAATTGTTATAAAACTAGTGGAAATGTAAGCAACTATAAGAGAAGATTGGAGGAGGAAAGACACAAGAGAAGTGAGGGGAATAATTCTTCTTATTCATACTCCATTTGTGATACAATAGTGTGCTCTATTTATAGGCACCCTTTGGTAACCATTACATCAATGCATATGAATTAGAGATAATAATATAGGAATGGGAGTTACATGTAACTCCCAAGTGAGCATCTAATGTGGTAGGCCATTGGTCATCCAAATATAAATATTTACATAATACTCCCCCTTGGATGACCACTAGATTGCATTATTACGCTATCTCATGCTGCCTCATTAAAAACCTTACCAGGAAAACCCAGTGGGAAAAACCATGGTTAAGGGAAAAAGAGTGCAGCGCGTATATGCTCCCCCTCATGACCACATCAGCTCAGATCTTTGAGTCGTCGAACTCCAATTTCACGAACAAGCTTTACAAAGATTGTCGTTGGGAGTGACTTGGTGAATAAATCTGCTAGATTCTCACTTGAACGAACTTTTTGAACAATTATTTCACCACTCTTTTGAAGATCATGAGTGAAAAAGAACTTGGGTGGAATATGTTTTGTTCTATCTCCTTTAATATATCCTTCCTTTAATTGAGCAATGCATGCTGCATTATCTTCATACATGATCGTCGGGATCATTTTTCCTAGAGATAGTCCACACGATTCTCTGATGTGTCGAATTATAGATCTTAACCAAACACATTCACGACTTGTCTCGTGAATTGCTAGGATTTCAGCATGATTGGATGATGTGGCTGTTATAGTTTGTTTTGTGGATCGCCACGAAATGGCTGTACCACCACAAGTGAACAAATATCCTGTCTGAGATCTACCATTGTGAGGATCTGAAAGATATCCTGCATCTGCATATCCCACTAAATCCATCTTCGATGCACTCGAATAGAACAAGCCCATATCCGTCGTTCCTCGAAGGTAACGGAGTAAATGTTTAACTCCATTCCAATGTCTTTTAGTGGGAGAAGAGCTATATCTTGCCAATATATTCACAGCAAACGATATATCGGGTCGTGTATGACTGGCTAGATACATTAATGCTCCTATCGCACTAAGATATGGCACTTCAGGGCCAAGCAGATCTTCATCACTTTCTCGAGGTCTAAATGGATCTCTTTTCACATCAAGTGATCTTACAACCATTGGATTACTCAACGGGTGTGATTTGTCCATATAAAATCTCTTAAGCACCTTTTCAACATATCCTTCTTGATGCACAAAAATACCATCCTTCAAATGTTCAATCTGTAATCCAAGACAAAACTTTGTTCTTCCTAAATCTTTCATTTCAAACTCTTTCTTCAAGCAATCAACTGCTTTTGGAAGCTCTTCGGGAGTTCCAATGATGTTTATGTCATCAACATAAACTGATATTATAACAAACTCACTACCCGATCTCTTTAGAAAAACACATGGACAAATAGGGTCATTCTTGTATCCTTCTTTCATCAAATATTCACTGAGACGATTGTACCACATTCGTCCAGATTGTTTCAATCCATACAAGGATTTGTTCAATTTGATAGAAAATTTTTCTCGAGAATGTGTTTTGTTTGCTTCTGGCAAAGTGAATCCTTCAGGGAGTTTCATATATATATCATTCTCAAGTGATCCATACAAATAGGCTGTCACAACATCCATTAGACGCAGATCTAGTCCTTCTCGGACTGCTAGACTGATCAAGTATCGAAACGTAGTTGCATCCACCACAGGGGAGTATGTCTCCTCATAATCAATGCCAGGTCTCTGTGAGAATCCTTGTGCGACAAGACGTGCTTTATATCTCACGACTTCACCCTTTTCATTTCTTTTCCGCACAAAAACCCATTTGTATCCCACTGGCTTTACGTTTTCTGGTGTAAGGACTACCGGTCCAAAAACTTTTCGCTTTGAAAGCGAGTTTAACTCCGCCTCAATGGCCTCTTTCCACTTTGGCCAATCATCTCTTGATTTGCATTCATCAATAGATCTTGGTTCATGATCCTCATTTTCATTCATCACACTCAACGCTGCAGCGTAAGCAAAAACATCGTCGACGATTATTTTACTTCGGTTCCAACATTTTCCATCCAAGACATAATTGATTGAGATCTCTTCATTATCAAAACTCTCAGGTACCTGATGTTCTTCGGGAACTACAATCTTAGTTATGCTTGGGGACTCTTCTTGAGCTTTCATATCCTCGATTTGATCAACTTGATTCATAGCTCCTTTTCTTTTTCGAGGATTTTTATCCTTGGAACCTACTGGTCTACCACGCTTCATTCGTGGTTTAGATTCATTTGCAATTTCAGATTGTCCAACAGGGACATCAACTTTCACTGGAGCATTTACAGCTGGAATGTGTGACTTTGTCACTCTTTTCTGGTCAGTAAACGAATCCGGCAGTTGGTTTGCTAAACCTTGTAAATGAATTATCTTTTGAACTTCCAGTTCACATTGTCTAGTACGAGGATCAAGGTGAGATAATGATAATTCATTCCAACAAATATCTTTTCCCAGCTGTTTGTTCTCACCCCCTAATGTTGGAAAAACTGATTCGTCAAAATGACAATCAGCAAAACGAGCAGTGAATAAATCTCCCGTCAAGGGTTCTAAGTATTTTATGATTGACGGAGACTCATATCCAACATAAATTCCCAACCTCCTTTGAGGACCCATCTTAACACGCTGTGGTGGAGCAATAGGGATGTAGACGGCACACCCAAATATTTTTAGATGGGAAATATTAGGTTCCTGACCAAAAACCATTTGCAAGGGGGAAATTTCATGATAACTTGTTGGCCTTATGCGAATTAATGTTGCCGCATGCAATATAGCATGTCCCCAACAAGAAATTGGCAAGCTTGTTTTCATAAGCAATGGTCTTGCAATAAGTTGCAAACGCTTAATGAATGATTCTGCAAGGCCATTTTGTGTATGAACATGTGCTACAGGATGTTCAACATCAATCCCAGTGGACATACAATAGTCATTGAAAGTTTGTGAAGTAAATTCACCAGCATTATCTAGACGTATTTTCTTGATTGGAAAATCAGGAAAATGTGCTCGTAGTCGTATCAATTGGGCAAGTAATCTAGCAAACGCCAGGTTGCGAGTTGATAGTAAGCACACATGTGACCATCTAGTTGATGCATCAACTAAAACCATAAAATATCTAAATGGTCCACATGGTGGGTGAATTGGCCCGCATATATCACCCTGTATACGTTCTAAAAATGTGAGAGATTCACTCCTTACTTTCACAGGTGATGGCCGTATAATCAACTTGCCACGAGAACATGCAACACATGGTACATCTTTAAACTGATAAATTTTGTGACCTTTCATTGGATGTCCACATGTATTGGCAATGATTTTCCGCATCATAATCAATCCGGGATGGCCTAACCGCTCATGCCAAACTATAAAATTATCAAGATTTGTAAACTTCTGGTTTACCACTGCATGTGTTTCAATTGTACTAATAAACGTGTAGTACAACCCAGAAGAAATAGCAGGCAATTTCTCCAATATGTATTTTTTATCGGAGACCATATTTGTTATCATAATATACTCTTTATTCTCTTCTTCCTTTGTCTCAATATGATATCCATTTCGGCGAATATCTTTGTAACTCAATAAATTTCTTTGAGACTTTGAAGAGTATAAGGCTTCATTGATATACAACTTGGTTCCTTCTGGTAACAATACACTAGCTCTTCCGGAGCCTTCAATTAGATTTGTACTTCCAGATATAGTACTAACATTTGCTTCTCGCATTTCAAGATGAGAAAAATATTTCTTATCCTTCAAGATTGTATGTGTCGATGCACTATCAATAAGACACACATCATGGTTTTTGATCTTGGTGCCAAGCATGGGAATATTCATTCTTCACAAAAGATAGAAAGTAAATCAATATAAGAAAATATCTCCAAATAAATATAAAAATAATGACATGATTATAATAGATGAAATTTAACCACATAAGGATTATAAAGAGAAATTATATTAAACTGACAAATTAATAGGAAAAACACACTCAAGGAAAACGACAAAGAAAGTGAAATTTCAAATGGGAAACCTACATTTTTCACTTGTGAACAAAGCGACAACGAAATAGAAATTTCAAATGAAAATGCTAAGTTTTTCACTTGCGAACATTTCCATCACCAATCAGGTGATCTATTTTTCCTTCTGGGTGGGCAAAGAAGTCTGACACATCTAGATGAGTAGCATCATTATAGTCTTTTCCTGAATCATCTTCCTCAAAAATACAATTGGTTTCTATCTTCTTCCCTTTCAATGATTCTTGGTAGAGGTTAACCAAGTGTTTTGGCGTACGACAGGTACGAGACCAATGACCTTTTCCACCACAACGGTAACACACATTTTCGACGTGTTTGTTACCATGAACACTTTGTTCCTTGCTTCTTCTACCATCATTTTTTCCACTTCTGGGGAAAAATGAGCCTTTGGAACTTTCACCACGACCATTACCACGACCAAGATCTCGGCCACGGCCACGGCCTCGAGCATGACCACGCCCACGTCCTCGTCCATGTCCGCGTCCATGTCTTTGCCCATAAGGATATTGGGTGAACGTCGCCGCATTCGCTTCTGGGAATGGGGCGGCACCAGTAGGACGAGATTGGTGATTTTTCATTAGGAGCTCATTATTTTGTTCAGCAACAAGGAGACAAGAAATCAGCTCAGAATATTTCTTGAAACCTTTCTCACGGTATTGCTGCTGCAGGAGCACATTGGATGCATGAAAAGTGGAGAATGTTTTTTCCAACATATCTTCATCAGTAATATTTTCTCCACATAACAGTAGTTGTGAGGTTATTTTGAATAGCTCTGAATTATAATCACTCACAGATTTAAAATCTTGTAACCTCAAATGCATCCAATCATAACGAGCCTTAGGAAGAATCACAGTTTTTTGGTGGTCATACCGCTCCTTCAAATTAGTCCACAAAACAAGTGGATCTTTGATCGTAAGATACTCATTCTTCAATCCCTCGTGGAGGTGATGTCGAAGAAAGATCATTGCTTTAGCTTTGTCTTGATCTGATGCTTCATTGCCCTCTTTAATCGTGTCTCCAAGACCGTTGGCAGCTAAATGAATTTCAGCATCTAGCACCCATGATAGGTAATTCTTTCCAGTGACATCAAGAGCCACAAACTCAAGCTTTGAAAGATTCGACATACTATCATAAAAATATACACAAATTAAAGTTAAAATTCAATAAATAAATATAGATTACTATCAAGACAAACAACTTATGTGACCCATGATATATCAATTTGATATTTTTACAAATATATAAATAAATTCGAATTTCACAAATAAAATAATATATTAAGAAGGAAATTATACCTTTGCATTCTCAAACAAAGATTTCATGTGTTGATTAATAAAGGAAATTATGTAAATTGAAATAGGACAATAAAAGAAACAATTTGGGAGAATTGACATACCTTGAGCAGAACAAATATGGATTTAACCTTTTCAAAAGGAAGAGTCTCGTGCTGATAACGTGTTATAAAACTAGTGGAAATGTAAGCAACTATAAGAGAAGATTGGAGGAGGAAAGACACAAGAGAAGTGAGGGGAATAATTCTTCTTATTCATACTCCATTTGTGATACAATAGTGTGCTCTATTTATAGGCACCCTTTGGTAACCATTACATCAATGCATATGAATTAGAGATAATAATATAGGAATGGGAGTTACATGTAACTCCCAAGTGAGCATCTAATGTGGTAGGCCATTGGTCATCCAAATATAAATATTTACATAATAGAAATAATACAATCGTACACCTCCCGAGCTCAGAGAAACAAACGCTTCCTTAACCTTTCTCTTTCTCTCTCGCTATCTGCATCACAAAGCTCCCTGCTTTACAACTTTCCCCACTTCCAGACACACACATCATCACGACCTCGCGACCCATTGAGCTTCTCTTTCTCTATCTAAAGCTCTGATCTTTTGGGCCGTGCTTTTTTCGGGTGTCGGGTCAATGGCTGATTGTGCCGGCGAGCAGTAATGAAGGTGACCACCGGGAAACAGCATTCGTCGACGGCGGTAGTGGGGGCTTCGATTCTTAACTCCAAGGGGTTTAATCAGAACCCGCATCAGCAAATTCCCGATTCAGATCTCGTCAGGCCGACACGGCGCAGGACCCGGGGCCTGACCCGGTTGAAGCGGGTCGCCCCTTCGGTCGGGCGGCGGAGCCGACCCGAGACGCCCCTGTTGAAATGGAAGGTTGAGGAGGGCGGAGCGAGGAATGGTGGGGGTAAGGAGGGTGGAGATGATGATGCTGCGGATGAGGATGAGGAGAAGCAGGGGAATGGTAAAGAGGAGGGTAGGAGAGGGAGGAGCAAGAGAAGCAGTGGGAGCTCTGTTTCTGCCAGGAAGCTAGCTGCTGGGTTGTGGAGGTTGCAGTCGCCGGAGAAGGCGGTCGGCGGTGGTGGGGAGCGGAGGAGGAGGGATGGGTTGGGGTTTCAGGTTAGATTGCGAAATGTGATTCCTTTTCTTTGTTGTTTCCTTGTGTGTTGTTTTGTTTTTGTTTTGTTTGGTTTGTTCTGTGAAAGACGATTTGTGTGGCGTTATTATGCTGGAGGAATTTTGGAGTGATTTGAGTTTGGGCGTATCAAAGGGAATGATTCTGTGAGATTTGGAGTAAATGAGTGCAAATTGTTGAATGCAATATGGTTTGTAGTTTGTGCTTGTGATTAGCTAGCTTAGCTCTCAAAGTTTTCGCCATTAACTTCTTTTGTGGTAAAGATTTGTTGGTGCTCTGATTTTGGTTATCCCTATAGGCTATAGTTGATTGTTCTCATCTAAAAGGTTGAAGACTTTATGATACTATCTAACAGAGTAATTGATTTGTCTCTATTGACATTTAATTTTGTGGATTTTTGTGATAATGGTTCTGCTGATAGGATCCCATTGATTCATTGATCATAATGTACTATGATCTCCTCAGCATGCTATATTGCTGAAATGTCACAACTAGCCAACTTCTTTCACAAAATAGGGTTCAAGCAAATACGAAGTCAAGTAAATCTGTACCCTTTTGCCCTTTCTATCTTTATCCTCGTACCGGATCCAACTGAGCATGTTCGAACTTGTTCAGTCATACCTTCCCGGGATTTGTTTTAGAAAAACTTGGAGAAGGTTTTTTTTGTTGACCTTGTCTCCAGGAGATCAGGAGTTTTGTTATGGTTAGGTTTTTTGGTGGCTATAATCCATTTGTTCACTCGTTGGGGTTTCTTTCAATGAATCGAATTCTCAAGGTTTTCTTCATCTCCTTGTATTTTTTGTCTCTTGTAGCCAGGGGCTGCTCGTCCTGGTGCTGTACCCCATCGAACTGAGAAAGTTTATGGTTCCGAGTTGAAGGATCCATTGCATAGCCCTACTTCCTGCTCTGCTATGAAGAACAGGTTCTTGTGTAAGGTGTGTTAGTTCTGGAGGTTTCATATTTGCTGTACTTAACTATTGTGTTTCTTCCCCAATACGGATGACAGTGGGAAATGTGCTCTTGTTGCCCGGCTCACTCAAATGAGCATAATTTTGGATGGTTTCCTTTCGACATATTGATGTGATGCAACCGCCAAAGATTATCTGCAGAAAAAGTCATGATCACTTGCTCTAGTTTTAGTGGTCGAACCGTTTGATTTAGCAATGCATATCCTCTACCATGAGTTATGAATTATTTTATCTTAATATGTAGGAAAAATTAATGCGGAAGTTTAATTTACTACATGCATAACAAATTAATATAACAATTGAGCTGTTGACTGTTCGCCAAATAAGTTGAACACTGTGTGAATTTCGGTTTCGTGTACTTAATTTGGCATTAGCATTAAGCAGAAGGCACAATATCATCAGTACTGGAGTCATGTAGGAAGAATGCATAGTAATAAGATATGAACAAGAACTTAATGCTGCTTAGGAAAATCTTCTTGTATGTAGGACTACCTAGATATCTATTCTCTCGAGTACAATTTAAGCTCGGGACTGATATGCTAGTGCTTACCTATCCAGGGAGATTTGATTTTCTTTATTCAGTTATTACCTTTGGCCTTGTCTTCCATCTGTCTAACTGTTTAGCTGTTTTTGGTTCTTTGTTGTTAGCTTGAACCTTCTTTCCAGTTCTCCAACTCTGCAATGGAGGGAAAAACCAAGTGGGATCCAGTCTGCTTCGAAACACCAGATGAGGTACGCCAGATCTACAGCCACATGAAACGTCTTGATCAACAAGTTAGCGCTGTCTCAATGGTTTCCGCCCTCGAATCCGAGCTCGAGCAGGCTCGAACACGCATCCATGAACTGGAAACTGAACGACGGTCCTCGAAAAAGAAACTTGAGCACTTCCTAAAGAAAGTAAGTGAGGAAAGAGCTGCATGGAGGAGCAGAGAGCACGAGAAAATCCGTGCATTCATCGATGACATCAAGTCAGACCTAAGCCGCGAGAGGAAAAACAGGCAGAGATTGGAGATTCTTAACTCGAAGCTGGTTAACGAGCTGGCTGATGCAAAGGTATCCGGGAAGCGACTGATGCAGGACTACGAAAAGGAAAGAAAGGGTCGGGAGTTGATCGAGGAAGTGTGCGATGAGCTCGCTAAAGAAATTGGGGATGACAAAGCTGAAATTGAAGCAATAAAGAGGGATTCAATGAAGCTGCGTGAAGAAGTTGACGATGAGAGGAAGATGCTGCAGATGGCCGAGGTTTGGCGTGAAGAACGCGTTCAGATGAAGCTGGTTGATGCCAAAGTGGCTCTCGAGGAGAAGTATTCTCAGATGAATAAGCTTGTAGCAGATTTGGAAAGCTTTTTAAGATCGAGAGGTGCTGCAATTTCAGAAGTTAGACAAGTGGAGTCTTTAATGCAGGCTGCAGCCGCCATTAATATCGAAGTGGTGAAGGAATTCACTTACGAGCCCTCTAACCCAGACGATATATTTGCTGTTCTTGAGGAAGTTAATTCTGGTGAGCCAAATGATGAGAGAGACATTGAGCACTGTTCGACTGCTTTCAGTCCTGCTAGTCATTGCAATGGCTATGTGATTAATCAGAATGAGGAGATAGAAGAAGATGAAAGCGGGTGGGAGACGGTGAGCCATCTCGAGGATCAAGGCTCGAGTTTCTCCCCCGATGGAAGTGTTCCATCTGTCAATAAGATTCACAGGGATAGTAACGTGTCAGGGAGCGGTACAGAATGGGAAGAAGACAACATCTGCAAGGATGCCCATATTGCAGAAGAAATCAGTGAGATTTGTTCTTTGCCGAACAATAGGCAGGCGAAAAAGGTATCTGCAATTGCAAGGCTGTGGAAGTCTGGCAGTAATGGGGAGAACTACAAGATCATATCAGTTGATGGAATGAATGGTAGGTTCTCCAATGGAAGGAAATCAAGTGCAGGGATGGTATCGCCAGATAGGGGTTCGGGCAAAGATGGAGGAAGAAGTTTTAGCCCTTCTGATTTTGTAGGTCAATGGAGTTCATTACCCGAGTCGGGGAACCCCCACATAACTAGAGGAATGAAAGGATGCATCGAATGGCCGCGAGGCACCTTGCAGAAGCACAGTTTAAAGTCGAAGCTTTTGGAAGGAAGGATGCAGAGCCAGAAACTCCAACTGCGCCATGTACTGAAGCAGAAGATCTAGAGGTTAGGAGATGCCCCCCAAGAAAAGAAAGCACTTGCTTGATCATGTACCAATTTCTGTAACTGTAAGAGCCTTATTGATCGAAATAGTTCAGAGTTTATATCTTTATGGGCGTATAGAGCCCTTGTTGTTGATCAGTTTGTTGTATATGCCCAAGGGGATAAAAATTCAGCTTCATTTTCATCTTGGACCAAGGTTTCTTTTGGTATACAAGTGGAATTTCGTATTTGCTTTCTGGAAAATATTCACTGCTTGGTCACACTACAGATGTATTAAAGAACTTTTGAACATCCATTTGTAGTGAATCATGTCTTCAAATCATTGAGCTACAACACGAAAGTTGAAAGAAGTTTGCAATTCAATTCTTGGCTACTGAAGAATCCAATACACTGTGGTTCAAAGAAAATAACAGTAGTTCCACGGGAGATCTTTGTCATTTATATTCTTGGAAGTTGACATGCCCAGTAGCTTGTGCATGCTCCACGGCTTCCTGAACATTGACATTCAAGTAAAGAACATATAAGTCGACACAATCTAAGCCAGTGCAGTTGAAGAACGAAAAGAAATTGCAGTAGACGGGTTACTAAGAAGAAGCAAGTACCTTCTGACCGATAACACCAATTTGGCATACGCCACACCTTAGTGTGAAGTTTGCAGTGTCTGTGTAGCTTCTTTTCCTGCCAAGTATGGAAGTTTCTTTATCAGCAGGATGAAACCTGTCTTGGAAAGAAAGGAAAACAGTTATTCCCTTGATCAAAGTACATCAGATACGAAGCACTACCTTTGTTGATCCTTAACAAGATTAAGAGCAAGCCCCTCAATAGGCCCAATTGTCCTGTCCCTTTGGACTAGAAATATGGTCTGATCAAACTCCTCGGGAGCTTCCTCAACTGGTGACATCTGTTTATGGGCAAATGGCAAGAGAAGCAACCAATAAGGAGGCATACATTTTTAAGTCAGTATCTAGCTTTCTAACTGCTTGGCGAAATCTGAATATAATCAAAATCATCAGGTGGAAGATGAAAGAGGAGACATACAGCTAAAGCATCATAGTGGAGACCATCATAGATGAGCATCACTCTTTCAGAGTACTTCTTGTCCTGTTAACATAAAAAAAAAGATCGAAAAATCAAATTTGGCAATTCAGAGGATAACTACTATTAACTCAAGACTAAAGTAATCATGACACTACTTACCTGACCGTATAAATCACATCGAGTGGTTTGAATGTCATATGCTGCAATTTCACGTCCGTAATAATCGGCCAATATTGCAAGCTCAATGGCACCTTCACGTGAGAAGGAAGAGAATGTACATGAAAAAGGGATATTGCTCTAGCTTGACAGGTCAGGAACAAGTACATGCATGTTATATTTTTCATATGCTTTTGTTAAAAACAAGTATGCATTGGCTACGAAGAGGGTGGACAGAAACTAACCCATTCAATCACAATTAGAAGCTAATGCATTTAGAGAATTTGATCCCAATCATCCAGTTCATAATAGAAGGATGGCCAAAAAGACATCTAGGATGACTTCAGAAGCCGAACATGGAACATTGATTTTCACATGGTAGGCAAACAATTTATGGTTAAGGGATATAGATGCAACAAACTTTGAACCGTCTATAAGTGATTTGTACATTAATAATCAGGAGCTGCTCTATGTATTGTCATAGAACAAGGTTCAATGTACATTTTCTACAGAATGGGATGACGGTCATTAGGGTATTAAGCAGGTTTGTAAAACCTTCTATCGGTTTTTGCTCACGGATATGGTTGTTTATATACTTTGCTCATTTTGAAATAAGCATTTCACTAAGTTCTCCGATAAGAGTTCTCAGGATGTAAGCAGCACAGGTAAATGAAATTGCTTATGGGATATCCTCTCAACCAGACTACAGGAAACAAGCAAACATACCTCCCCACTTCTCCGAATCAAGAATCCATGCACAATATTCTTGATTTGGTTTTCCAAGGAATGCTTCATTGTACTTTACTGGATCACTTGCCACTGTTGCAGCTATAACCTTCAAGGGAATCACAATCAAACAGAAGATCAGTAAACCAATACTTTGAAAGGTATAAGAGATGGAACAAAGCGCTTTTGAACTCATCAAAGCAAAGGCAATGGGAGCATCTATGCTTAGCTAGTCAACAGGACAGTGCCCACCAATTCTTATCATGCAATATCATTGTTGATTCATTGTCAATCTAACTTCTGAAAACTGACAACATATATACTACAAAATGCTTGAATCCCTCAATCAATCTCACTTCATTTTGTAAGCCAGTCTACAGAAAGAACAGGAATTTGGCATGGTTGAATGGTGCAACAGTTTTCTGATTAAAAATTATTCAGATCAGTAATCAAGTATTCACGCACTAAGCATAAAAGTAATCTATGATCGACATGCTAGTCTACCTAAGAAATTCATCGTGCATGTTTAAGTTTGTTATATATATATTCGATTTAACATTAATTTCATACCAGTAATCAAGAGGCAGTTTATGCTAACACTACTGTTTTCTTCAATTTAACATTTATCAAATAAAGTAAAAAATGGAACGCGGGAACAAAGCATACATAAAGCAAAGAGATTAGATGAGAACCTGTCTAAGCTCAGGAGCTTTATTTTTGTTGTGGTCCATAACATATCTGCATGTGAAATTTTATCCAAACAGGCATAGTGCAAAAAAGGATGAGAAAACCATCCCGACAAACTAACGATAAACAATGTATGAAGCAAACATATAGACCAGAAGAACTGTACCCAACGGCATTGAAGAGGCAAGAATTGTCCGAGGGAATGACCCTTCTCACAACAGTTCCGTCCATTATCTAGCAAACTACAATCCCTGAAAATTTTGCATGAACCGCTTAGAAGGAAGGCTGCTAACCAATTCAGCTAGCAAGTCTACGTATCAAGAAGCTCATGGCAATAGAATTGCAGTCGTAAATGGTGGCAGTAGACTAAAAAATACATAACATGCTGGCCTGCTTGAAAAGCGAAAGTTCAAGGCTTTTGGAGAATCCAGCCTCTGAGGAATTGAACAATTCAACAAAAGACAATTGCGTGACAATAGGTATAACGGTAAGAAATCAAGCATAGCTAGAATGGTGAAGCGGCTACACAGCAATCGAAACAAAATGGAAAAGAACACAAATCACATTTCACCAACCAAAACATCCAAACCGACAGCAATACAGTTGACATACCACGAAATGAAGAACTAAGCAGAGCTCAAGAGAAGCACTAGCAAAAGGAGAAGAAGCAAATTCCAGGTTAAGGCGACCAAAACCCAGAAGCCTTCACAATAGCAAGAAACAAATGGCTAAATATGCAGATCTATCCACCAGAAACGAGCCCAGATAAGGAAAACCGGAGATTACTGAAGGAATCGGGTGAGACCCACCAGAGGCAGAGATGGAAGGAGGCAGGGGGGCGGAAGACTTGCTGGTTGCTGTTGCTTGACGAAGGAAGAAAGAAAAGAAAAATGAAGAATTGCAAGAGATATATCTAATCTGGCTTCTGGGTGTCGTGAGTTGGCGTGCCGAATGTTTGAAATCAAAACCTTTTTAAAAAGTTGCCGAATTCGGATGCCGCTCTTGCGTTTCATTCTTCATCTTCTTCATTCGTCCCTTTCTCATCACCATTCATTTCTCTGTCGTCAGCCTTAGGCTAACTAGAGGAATTCCTATTTAATTTGATTTGAAGAGAATTTCGATTGTCCAGAAGAGAATACGAAATTCGAATTGACTCATTATTTTATCTCTTTTTTGAATTAACTCAACAAAAACAATCGGGTCAAAATCATATTTCAAAGAAGCTTATCCATAATGTCGTTTTTTCCGCTGGTGAATTGGATGGAAATATTATCATTACGTTAATGACAATTATGATTTATATGGTAGTAAAAAAATTTAGCATATAAGTGGAAGGAATTATTGAAGATGCAATAATACAAGAATGAAAGAAATGTCCGACAATGAGACGTCGGTTGAGTAATTTAACCCAATTGTCATGACTCGTATGGATATTGGGTCAGACCCAAATGCACTTTTAATGATTTTGGACAGAGTCGTCGGGTGCTTCATTTTGAGCGAGATCGAGAAAGAGTGGCGTAGATAGTATCATTTTCTTCTTTTGGGTATCCATTGATCCGTGTCCAATTCACGTCCAAACTAAAAAGTTGAGAATGAGTTTTCCCCAAAAGTTCATTGCTTAATCTTCCACTTATTTTTTCGTCGAAATGACGATACAATGGCCTACCAAAACGAAATACCAAAGGACACTACATAATAGCCATGCCTCAAGAATCAAGATGGAGTCACGATTATGTATTTGGACAAGTATACATGATTCACTCAATAAAGCAAGTGAAGTTCCAAAATTAGCTACCAAGAATCGTAGAATCTCGGGCAGAGGTCGAGTAGTCTAGATCTGTAGATATTCGCCAAAGTTATCGACTTAGCACGACAGTATCTGAGGTTCAGGTAAGGGAGCATTAAGGCAAAACATGGAGGGCTTGTATCAAAGAACAAGAAGCAAATCCTTATGATCAGGCTCGCATCAATCAACGTTCATCATCTGCAGCTTTTAATCCCTGAGGCTACAGCAGGCGTGCAATGCAGGAAACCCTACATATCAATTTTTCATATCACACAACAGACCTAACAAATGACTACTACCTGCTTAATTTGCCGTCGCCACAAGGGCGTTCCACTTTCAATACACAACAAGCCATAAATTTGTCAGCGTGCATTCCAGTGCCAGATTTTCGATTGCAGATGCAATGATCCATTGCAGTGAAACATACGGATTAAACAGTAGGAAAATCTCATTTTAAACAAAAAAAACATGAAACTGCAGATAACAATTGCTATTTCCATCGCAAATTCAACTCTCACCGGGTGCCGGTAACTCTCTCTATTGAACCGCTACAAACTGGACAACAGTTGAGGCCACAGACATTCAAGAGGTTTACGGAACCCAACCAAACATAAACAAGATGGGAGATATGATCAGAAACCAGAACAAGTTTATCGTAAAAGACCAAAGAGTCTGCAAAACAGAACAAAATTCTCATGCAATTAGATAGAAGACATGCATCGGTGAGCAGCTTAATATGTTAAGTGCGAGGAAACAGTTATTTAGTGAGCAGGCTCGATATGTCTCCTATAATCCTGTAAGGGGAATAAGGAAATTTTCCCCTTACTTTTCTACTCTCTCATTATTACTACTAATGCATGCCTAGTCATTTTCATTTCGGCCAGTGCATAACTAACCCTAGCAGGGACTGACAATCAGAAGCAATTACCAGCTATTCAGGGAGGTGTTACTGGCGTGTTGTCGTTCTGAGCCCAGCAGCTGTGGCTTCCATCATATGCAACTCGCAATTCCTCGTACTTTGGTATTGAAGTCGGCCAGCAGGAGAACTCAGCCTGGAAAAGTCTCCAAAAACTTGGGTAATTGTGAACATCAGCAAACAACTCCAGCTCTCCACCCGTCTTCAAATTGCAGGACAGCACATCGTGCGTCTTCATCTTAACGGAGGTGAATTGGGGAGGAAAGGAAATATTGCAGCGACGAGTGAAGAAGACAACTTCCGGCTTCCCTGGATGGAGGGTAGGTGGACCACAAGAATCCATTTCATGTGACCTTGATCCCTTCACCAACCCTGCACATAGTTTCCTCCAAGTTTTGCGGTCTTCTTCCAGCCTCCAAACAGTCAAGGCAAATGGTGAAAGACCCAGGTCAGGATTCTTTTCCCGTAAGAATACGTGCACAGCACCTTGTGAGACCGAAATATGCAGGTCCAGCTTCACACCGCCTGATGGAGCATCAATGGCAGAGGGAGGTATATCGGGACGGAAAGGATCGAAAGCAAAAACTACAGGCTTAAACAAAGGGATAGGACCTGGATCCTGGACAAGATCAAGCCAAAACAACTCCCCGTTGCAAGAAAGCATGTTGTTTGGCGAGCGTGCAAATCTATCATCGATAACAAGAGCTTCCTTCGTCCATTCCCGAGACTCCGAACAAAACACGTTCAGTTTCAAGGAGAATCGGTCTTCTCTGTACACAGACACCACGCGGAACCGATGCTCCGAAGAATAAACAAAGACTTGGTCATCTCCTAGATCGAGATTATTAGAAATGCGGGATTCACAGACTAACCTTGTACACATTGGAAGACAATTAGCTGCCAATTCAGGCGCCAACGGAAGTGCGGCCCATTGCTCCGTGAGCGGATTGCAGATGAAGTACAATCTGTACCAATCGCTACTGTTGTAACTGTAAAACCCGCACAAAACCAAGTCCTTGTAGGAATCCAGAACTGAGAAACTGATTTGGGCAACAAAACTCATGCGTGGTAGAAAGCTATTGATGATCGATTGGGAGTCGTCTGAGGTTAGAAGCAGAGAAGATGGTTGGTTCCTGCTCCGGTGGCGAGAAATGAAACTACGGTTGAAGCGGGGACTGGAGATGAGGGACCTCCATCCCTTGCAGACGGCTTTGCATCGGCAGGAGTATCTAGGGTTCGGTAGGCGAATCAGAATTTCGACGAGGAGATCGTCCCCGAGCGTACGGATCTTCGGAGGAGGGTTTGGTTCTGTCGAAGGGATCCGGCAACGTTTCCCGGAGCCGCAAGGCACAAAACGTGAGCTTGGCGGCCGATCGGAAGCGGAGGTGCTGTTATCGGCCGACATGGAAGTAGGCAAATAGAAGCAAGGAAGATAAATCCCTAATTTTTTACTGTTCGAAATCTGTAATTTTACTTTGTTGGTGAAAAGTGAAAACTGAAAAGAGGGTTGCCATTTTTCGTGTTTTGCTTTAAGCAAGGTTGTCAACCCGTGGGTTGACCCGGACCCGGTCGAGCTAGTGGGTCAAGGGTTAATGGGTCAACCGTTTTAGCCCGGTTTGGCCCGGAAATATAGAAAGAGTCATTATATTGTACTTATCCTCATAAATTATATCAAATTTTATCTAACATATGAGTTATAACATATAATATTACACCAAAATAACATATCGTACTTAGATCCGACATATAGTGAAAATTCACACACACTTATTTAACATAAATATTCAAATGTTCAACTTAGTATTCCAAAGATTGAGTTAGGCGAAAAGAAAAATTGGAAAATAGGCACATTTCGCAAACTAAAGAAAAAAATGACACAATTTGACCTCCAACCCGGTACCCCAACCCGGTACCTTATAGCGGTCGGCCCGGCGGGTGCGTACGGCCCGTTTTTCTCACCGGGTCAGGGTCAAATTGGGTCGACCCGTGGATCAACCCGCGGGTTGACAACCTTGGCTTTAAGAGTTTCTGGGCCGCTTCTATTGATGGGCTGGGCTGTCAAACAAAGAAGCCCAATTGTTTGTTGGGTACATGAGCTGAGGTCATGATGGATGGTATTATAGGTTTCGTCAGTTTTGAAGGTACTTTTAGTTTTGGTCTTGGCTTCATATCGAATGACATTTTCATTATCGAGCTTTTAGCTTTTTGTGATGCGATTAATTGGTGTCTAACTCATAATTTTCTTGTTGTTAATTTGCATAGTGATTGTCAATCATTGATATGTCGCGTTCGGGAGAAAGAGACGACCCATGACTTAGGAGGAGCCACCTTGAAGGAAATTCGAATACTATTTGATGCACTAACGTTTTTTCTTGGGTTATAGGGCTACCAAATTTTTTCTTGTAAAGGCTTATTCTTTCTTAGGTTGATCCTTACCAACTCATTCGTACAATTGGTTGAATAGAAGCATTGCATTCACCATATCGATTCATCATCAAACAACAGACGCAACAAATGACCACTGGCTGCTTAATCTGGAACACTATCACAAGAGCGCTCCACAGCCTCAGCCTCAGCCTCAGCCTCAGCCATAGGAAGCTCCAAGTTATTCTTTTGCTTTCCCCACTTCCAATATACAAACTGCAGGTTTGTTAGCGTGCACCGTGCACTCCAGTGGGAGGTTTTCGACTGCAAATGCATGATCCGACACGGATTAAACCGCCTAGAAATCTCATTCATACGTAAAAACATGAAACAGCGGATAACTAGTGCTGCTTCCATAACAAATTCAACTCTAACTGGGTGCAGTAGCACTGTAGCAGTACCATAAATTTTTTACAGGGACGGTTACCCTCTCTATTGAATCACAACAAACTGGACAACAGTTTTGTGGCCACAGATATTCAAGAGGGTTGCAACTGAAAACGCCTAGTGATCAATTGTCATCTATTGAGACCCCTCCCCGTTCTCTCTTATTGTTCAGTTCTAGTTTCTAAGAATACATTCAAGTTTGTTTTTACCTAGACAGGCTGAGCCTCGATCTTCTGAGGAAGTTCGGCAATGCACTCGATTTCAATCCTGGCATTCAAGGGCAATGCTGCTACCTGATATGTTGATCGAGCTGGGAACGGAGCAGGGAAGTCTGCAAACAGAAAGAGAAGAAGGTAAATTTTTCTCTCCAACAATATGATCTTATTCTCCTGCTAAGTTTTCAAGTAAAGTTGTTGGACATGTCTCTAATTTAGTCAACTCAAAGTTCCAAGCCAAAGAAGCAACAGAAACAATGGAACTATTTATCCCATATAGTGGAGTAAGCTGTTTCCACAGTAGATATAGTGCTACTAACTAGGTAAGCAGTCACAAGGGCTTCATATGAACTGCCTGGAAATATTAGCATCAGCCTGTAGACTGCAGCGCAAGCGCCTCATGCATAATTA